CTCGCAGGGCTGCGGGGCCGGGTGGCTGCGCGGCCACGCCCACCAGCGGGGAGCTGTCCCGGGGCGCGGTGCTGAGCGCCGGCAGCCCAGCCCCTCACGTTCCCATAAAGCAGGTGTTACTGTCTTACCTGTCCTATCAGGAGGATGTGAGGGGAGATTCTGAAAGGGCCCACCAAACCTAAAACATACCAGAGCATTCCGTGGCCGGAACCTGGGGCTGGGCAGGCGGATTCTGGTCTGGTGTTTCCTGGTTGAGCCTTGCTGTGTTCAAGAGTAGGGATGACTGTCCAGGAGGAGAAAAGCTGGCTCTCAGGCCAACGGGTGGCAGTACCTGATGCCACTCGACAGGCTGGCACATCTCAAGGCCCACTTCTGCCCCTCGGGCCTTGGCCTGCTGGTCTGGCTGCCATGCCTGTGCTAGGCCCCAAGGACAGGTCACCAGTGGCTAGCGCTCAGTTTATGACATCGAGTCAGCGGATCCGTCTGCTGTGGTTTTGCAGGCAGCCTGTCATTACTCTGGTCACGTGTCCCCACTGCAGGCGTGATCTCAGCAGCACGAGTCTTTCCTGAAAGTTCCTCCACGACCCCACGCTGCTCTTGGACCCCAGGGTGTGAGCCACACGCTGATACCCCGTGGTTGAACTGCTTCCCGTAGAGCAAGCGAGGACTTCGGGCTGGGCCTGCCTGTCACCCGACCACAGGGCCTGTGGTGTTTCTCGCGTCTTGGCCCAGAGTCTAGTAGATGGTCCACTGTCCCACGCTCCCCAGAATTCCCATTCATGGCCTTTCCGTGGGTGAATCTTGATCAGGCTTTCGGAGAGTAGTCTCAGGTTTGCACATACGTAACAGAACGGAGGAAGCTGCTTGGATTCCCAGCAGCAGGCAGATGTTTGTCTGCAGCTGTTCACAGTAAGACTTGCGGGGCCGGCAGCCGTTCTGGCCGATTTGGTAAGGCGGGATATGGACAACAGGCGATCCTTCCCTGTCGTGGCCGAGGCACTGCCAGACCCGGACTCAGACGGCCCCAGGTCGGCAGTGCTTGCCAAGAAGGGGGTACTTTTTTGTGTTCTTTTCACTGCTTTGCCCTTGAATTCCATCCCTTCCTGAAGTCACGTCATGGCAGCTGAGTGACGCAGAGTTTTCATCCGTTCGCTGTTCGTCCCACTGGGGGACTCCATTCCCGTGAGAGCCGAGGGCACATGCGTGTGTGGTTTCTCTTCTATTCTTACACCTTTCCACGCACCAGGGTGACAGCCATTGCCGACATGGCGCTGCGCGTGGAGCGTGTGTGTCTTGTTTCGAACGCACGTGTGAAGATTAGGAAATGAGCACAGGGCATTTAAAGTTTCCTTGCTGATTCTTTGGGCCACGCTGCCTCCGCCCTGTGCTCCTGTGACATTCGTTCCCTTCACATATCTGGGCAGCACCTGCACCTGTGTACTTCTGTGTCATTTTGTGTCACTTTCGGACTCACGTGCATCCCCGTGCCATTGAATTGCGGCTGCTGGAGGTGTGACAGGAAGTTTAGATGTGGAGTCACACAAAGCTGCCTTTGGCATGGGCGGTGGCCACGTGGAGATGGAAGGACATGCCGAGAGCAGCTCCCTACTGTCAGCTGTCAGCCCCAGCCCAGTGCTTCTTGAGCAGCAGGACTTCGGTGGGTGGGCGGGGCGGGGTCCCCATCAGACTAGACCCCAGGCTAGGGACTCTCCTCATGCCTCGAGACCTGCTTCTGTCCTGGCTCGGGGCGGGGTCCCCATCAGACTAGACCCCAGGCCAGGGACACTCCTCATGCCTCGAGACCTGCTTCTGTCCTGGTGTGTCCTGGCCAATCAATAAACATTTGTTAAGGGACCAGCTGAGCGGTGTCTGTCCTCGGGGCCACCTCCCAGAACCAGTGCAGAGTGTGGCTCCTGCTTGTACCCCGCTGCCGCTCAGGGGTGCTTCAGGGAGCAGGACCAGGCCTTGCTTGCCTCCCTTCACGAGTGAGCTCCCCTTCCTCCCCACGGGGACTCACCTCTGGAGATCTTGGGCCGAGCGAGGATTCTCGGGGTACAAGTGCTGGCACAGGCCCAGAGCCCAGCGAGGCCGTCCTGTGAGCTGCGTGGCCAGCCCTGGTGAGTGCCTCTGTCCTGTCCGCTCCGTCCTGCCGCCTGGGGCTCCTCTCAGAGACACTCTGCCTTCCATGGGCTCGTCCCCAGGGGCTTCACTCCACTTGCTGTCCTTTCTGAGAGGCTCGAGTGGTCTGAGGACGTAGCCTCAGAACCTTTTTCCTAATCTTCATTGTATCCCACTGGACTAGATGCGAAACGAGCTTCGGGACAGTGCGACCTTCCTCCTCCATCTTCTCCGCCCCCGCCCGGCCCTCGCTGCTGCTGGGCTTGGCAGGGGCAGGATCGCTGTGGCCCACAAGGTGGTGTCTCCCTCTCTCAGATTCTCCTTTCCCCGGAGGGGGGCTGTCACCCAAGGTGGGCGTGCCGCCTTGCTGTGGGGTTGGAGCAGGTGTGGGCAGTGAGTGCATCAGGGGACTCGCAGAAGCCAGATATCTCCAGGCCTCTAGGCCGGCTGCAGACTTCTCTCGCCACCCCCAGCCTGGGGTTTACTGAGTTCTTACTCCTTCGATAGGACTCTAAGGGACAGAGGCTCCGTAGCCTATTGATTGCCCTGCCAGCCTGCATGTCTTCCCATTGACGGGTGTGTCCTGAGTCAGGCCCGAGGTCCCAGATGGGCAGCTAGATGTTGGAGGGCAGGGGTCGGAGCCTGCGGTGGTCTGTGAGCAGGGCCCAGCCTGCAGCGGGGGCTTCCCAGAGGTGTTGGTCTTTCCCGCCTGCTCCCACCGGTCCCCTCCCTTGCCCACTGCCCCTCTGGGTCTTGGCCTGAGCCCTGCCAGCCCCACTCTCACTGGGTCATCGCTGCTGGCACTTTCCCTGCCGCCCACCCACTTCTCCCAGAGGCCCTGCTGCCACGGAGGGCAAGGGGTCCTGGGCTTTGGGGGTGCCAGGCCCAGGCCGGGTGCTGGGGGTGACCAAGATGTCAGCCAGATAGGCTCGGAGAGCTCTGGCCTCAGTGGGGCTCTGGGACCGGGGAGGGGTGCCTGCTGCCCCAGGCTTGGCCTGAGGCTTGGCTGAGCTCAGGAGGAAGAGGAGGCCTGGCTGGTGGGAGGCAGCGCTGGAGGTGGTGCCGGAGCCGGGCCCGGGTCATCCGTCGGTGAGGGAGGCCCTGAACCAGGCAGGTGGCAGGTGGGAAAGGTGTGGGAGGAGGTGAGTCCTTGGGCCACCCTCAGCCTACCCACCCGCTGTACCACCTGCCAACTGCCAGCCCACCACAGCACGCTCCATCTCCCCATTCTGAGTGAGTCATTTTGCCCCGTTTTGGGGGGGCAATAAGTATTTATAAAAGGCTTTTGCCTGGCAAGCCCAGAACGGGGGGCTTGCTGTGAGCTCAGGAACACGCCCAGCCTGGCCACGCTCACGGGGACACCCTTCAATCTCTTATTTGTGGCTCCAAACATGAGGCCACCGCTCTCATTGCACCTCGTTACTTGATTAAACAGACATTAGCAAAACAGCAGAGGGAGGGGCCAGGGGAGGTGGCAGCTTCTTGAGGGCGGAGCCAGGGTTGGGAGGCCAAGGCCTGTCCCCTGCAATCGGGGGATGTGCTGGGGTTCCTGAGGGCCTCATCGCACCTCATCCCTAGAAAGGGAGAGACCCTGCACTCCTCCCATGCCCCAAGACTCCCCACAGCATGCTTGCAGATGTGCTGTGTGTCCGTGGGGGCCACCAGCCCCACCACCAAGCCCCCCTCACAGGATCCTGCCAGCCTGCGGTCACCAAGGACGCTGGCCGCAAAAAGAGCAGCATCTCCCACTTTCAAAGGATAGAAGTTGAAAGAAAAACATTTCACTGCAGCTAAAACAGTTAAGTCAATAAAACAGCCTTTCTGTTTACTGAACTCAATCTAGGTGTTCGGTTCCTGGACTTGTCTTCAACTTGCCGTCTGCCGGGCGATAACCGCCGTGGGCCTCTGTCTCGTTAGTCTTCCCTGTTTGGGACCTGCCATCCTGCAGCCTGGGGTGGCTCCCTGAGTCAGAACTGGGGGTGGGGGGAGAGGGGAACCTGCAAGTGCTGAGTCAGGGTTCTGTGCTGCAGTGTTGGGGACAGGTGTATGACCTGAGGGCTGGGGAGAGGGGCTGGGAGTTGCCCCCTGATGGCACAGAGCTTCTGTTTGCAGTGAAGGAAGGTTCTGAATTCATGGTGGCGATGGCTGCACAACACTGCGAGGGTGATCGGTGCCACTGAGCCGTCCCTGCAAAATGGCAGATGCGGTGAATTTTATGCTCTGTGTTTTCACTGCAATAAAAATAGTGAAACCCAAGAGCCGGAGGAGTGGGACCTGGTGACCCTGGGCTGAGGTCCGTGGAGCCGCACGGAAGAGGCCAGGCCACTGAGGCCAGCTGCATCAGGAGGGCGCTGGAGGGGAAGGGGGAGTGATGTCCCTGGAGCCCAGGGCCGGGTCCAGAGGGTGGCTTGTCCCGGCCTGTCCCTCTCCCACCTCCCCATTTCCCTTCAGCAGCCCAGCCAGAACCTGCCGACCCTGCCTGGAAAATTCGGGAGGACAGCCAGGCCGGTGGAGCAGGGAGGGCTGGGTGCAGGGCTGGGGGGCAGGAGAGGGGGTGTTTG